CAAATTGATAGCAGAAAGGTCAGTTGCCAAATGAACCAAGTTAACATATACAAGAGATATACAGGAACACACTGTGAGAAGGAATGTGGTTATACTGTAGAAAGCTAAAAGTTAGCACTGACAGTCCAATGTGGAACTCCAGGAGTGAGAATAGCATCAAGGAATATTTTCAGACAGCTGCCTTGGCCATCATTTCCTTTCTTAGGATAGGAAAGCCAAGAGGTGAGGCTTGAAGAGCAGGAGAGGAAAACAATGGGACTGTTTGTTTGCTTTTTGTTGTTTTTTTTTTTTTTTTTTGATACATTGTGTTTGAGGTCCTAGAGACATAAAGTAGTCAGCTTCAATAAGCAATTAGCCAGGGTGCTCTGAAGCTCATAACAGGAGCATGGAAATAGGGTCACCAGCACATAAAAAGTAATATGACATTAATCAGGAAGATTTCTGCTTTCAAAAGAATAATAGTCTTTAAAAAAAACATACATAATGACCAGAATAGAAAGCATGATATAATTGCTTGAATGAAAGTATTTTAAAAGCACCTTTGAAACACAAGGAAGTATGCATTGGTTTGAACTGGTACAGGAAAGCTGAATTCAACAGAAGAAAATGGTGGGATCTAATCAAGAATCAATAAATGGGAGGGTATCAAACTAAAAAGGTTCTTCACAGCAAAGGAAATGATCAACAACATAAACAGAGAGCCTACAGGTTGGGAGAAAAATTTTGCCACATACACTTCAGATAGAGCATTAATCTCCAGGATATATAAAGAACTGAAAAGACTTAAACCAAAAAAATCAAATAACTGAACCAATAAATGGGCAAAGGAACTGAATATACGTTTCACAGAAGAAATACAAATGGTCAATAAATGTATGAAAAAATATTCAACATCTCTAGCAACTAGAGAAATGCAAAGTAAAACTACACTGAAATTCCATCTCACTGCAGTCATAATGGCAATTATCAAGAATCCAAGCAACAATAAATGTTGTCAAGGATGTTGGGGAAAAGGTACACTCACACATTGCTGATAGGGCTGCAAATTGGTACAGCTACTCTGGAAAGCAGTATGGAGATTCCTCAGAAAACTTGAAAAGGAACCCCCCATTTGATTAGCTATCCTACTCCTCAACATATATCCAGAGGACTTAAAATTAGCATACTAAAATGATGCACCCACATCACTATTTATAGCAGCTCAATGCACAATAGATAAGTTATGGAACCAAATTAGGTGCTGTTAAACAGATGGATGGATAAAGAAAATGCAGCATATATACATAGTGGAATATTAGTCATAAAGAAGAATGAAATTATAGCATTTGCCAGTAAATGGATGGAACAGAAAATTATCATGCTAAGGGAAATAAATCAATCTGAAAAAAACATGGGCTGAATGTTCTCTCTTATATGCAGAGGCTAACACATAATAAGGCAGAGAGGAAATAATAGACTTTCATTGGATTAGACAAGGGGGAATGAAGGAAAGGGAGGGGGAATGAGAATGGGAAGGACAATATGATTAATCTGACATACTTTTCCTATGTTCATATATGAATGCATTACCAGTGTAACTCCACATCATGTACAACCACAAAAATGGGTTCCTAATTAGAATAAGTTATACTCCATGTAAGTAAATGTCAAAATATACTCTAGTTTCATGTATACCTAAAAAGAACAAATTAAAAAAAAAGGAGATAATGGGAAACAAAAACAAAAGTGAAAAATGGTGGGATCCAAGTTCTTAATGCTGGATAATGCATGCCAGGCTACCTCCTTTGAAATCCAGATGCTAACACAGAAAAGCTGTGTTATGTTGGTCAGGTTACTTAACTGTGTGTATGTTCAATGATATAATCTGGCTTTTGTAGCTCTTCAACTGCAAATAGTGTCTTCCAATCACAGCTATCAACCATGCTTCTGTTTTGAGCCTCAGAGCTGCATGGCTACCATCAAACACACACATGTACAACAGCACTATACTTATAACACCACTTGTTGGTTTCTCTTCTCTATAAAGCATCAGTTATGTTTAAAACTTTTTACCTTAAAATAATTTTAAATATCCAGGACAGGAGTAAAAACAGTACAAAAAATTCTATATAATATTAAATTCCTATAACATTAACACTAATGGAATCATAACATAAAGAATAGGAAATTAATATTACTAGAATACTATTATCTGAACTACAAAACCTATTTAAATTTTGTGTGTGCGTGCGTGTGTGTGTGTGTGTGTGTGTGTGTGTGTGTGTGTTTTGTACCAGAGATTGAACCTAGAGACACCTAATCACTGAGCCACATCCCCAGCCCTTTTTATTTTATATTTTGAGACAGGGTCTCACTAAGTAGCTTAGGACCTCACTAAGTTGTGCACAATAGCTTTGAACTTGAGATTCTCCTGCCTCAGCTTCCAGGCCATAGGAATTACATGTGTAAATTTCATGTTTTTTTTTTAAAAACATCTTATAGGAGGTATTGGGGGACTATAAACCTAGGAGTGTTTTATGCCTGAGCCACATTACCAATCCTTTTTGTTTATTTTTAATTTTGAGACAGGGTCTTACTAAGTTGCTGAGACCGATCTTGATCCTCCTGACTCAGCCTCCCCAGCTTCTAGGATTATGGGCATTCTCCATCTTGGTTCACTGTATTCAGTTTTTATATCTCCCTAGTCTCTTTGTCACAGTTCTTCAGTCCTTCCTCTTCTTTCATGACCTTGACCCTTATGAAGACCACTGATTCATTATTTTGTAAGATACTCTTTAATTTGTGATTTCCCAATTATTTTTCATAATTGGAGTAGGGTTATAATTTTTCAAAAAGTATGTGCCTTTCTTAGCATATGACATACAGTGGGTCAGGAGCTGAAGCTGCTTACCATGACCACTTGGATTAGTTAGAGCCTGATCAGTTTCTTCACTATTTTTCCCTTTGTTGTTGATAAGAATCCTGGAGAAGAGAGTTTGAGACTATGGAAATCCAGTTTCTACTCAGATATTTGTTCACTAATTTGAGCATCTACTACTACATCTTATTCATAAGGTGTATGGTGGTAGTGTTACCTGCTGGTGATCTCTGTGTTATAGCATTAATTGTTAGCACAAGCAGTGTAGTTGATACCTGTTTCCAAGAAAACAGAACTAAGAAATTGGCCAGAAATGGTGGTGCATGCCTGTAATCCCAGCGGCTCAGGAGGCTGAGGCAGGAGAATGGTGAGTTCAAAGCCAACCTCAGCAAAAGCCAGGCACTAAGCAACTCAGTGAGACCCTGTACTAAATAAAATACAAATTAGGGCCGGGGATGTGACTCAGTGATTGAGTGCTTCTGAGTTCAATCCCTAGTTCCAAAAAACAAACACACAAACCAAAAAAAAAACTAAGAAATTCAGGTTGAATTTTTAGGAAGAATGGGAAGGGAGGGGTACAGTTAACAAGCTGCACACTGGGACTTGAATCTTCCTGGACTACAGAGCAGATTGTGGCACACAAATGCATGTGCAGGAGAAAGGCAAAGAACACAGAGGGGTGAGAGATTTCCTAGCGGGAGGCCAGAGACATCAAATGAGTGTTTCTGGAAAATGAAGCCAATCTTCATATGCTCATAGTTCTTGCCTTTCTAGGAATCAATACCAATCCCTGTAGCCAAGCGAAGGTATGAAAGTAGGAATATTTTACCTTCGGCTTTTTAAATTTGTTTTCCTACCTCTGTCTTCAGGGTTCTATATACCTCTACTTCTCCCAGATAAAATGTTTTCTAGGAAACTTATTCTCTTCCGTGGAAGTACTCACCACACTGAATTGTTTGCCTAATGTCTGTCATCTTGGCAACAGGGTTAAATGTTGTGAGGTTTTGATGAAGTCTATTTTGTACCTGATATATAGCACAATGCCTGGAACATACTGTCAATACCATTGAACATTTACCAAACAAATGTGACAGATGGTTACAGTACAATTTGGATGCTCTCCTGCATACATCAAGGGTTAAACAGGCTTCTGTGGCTCAGCTGTGTAAACACTACATATTCGTTACAGGAAAATAAATTCTGAATTCCTAATGAATTTGCCTGATGACACACTTCTGTAAAGCAACACAACAACATATTTTTATTAGACTTTTCCTTTCTAAAAAGAAAGCTTAAAAAAATAAAAATGTCCTTGAAACTGTCTTATTCCATATGATTTATATAGATGTTAAAACATTTATATTCTAATGTTCATTTTAAAGAAGCAAAGTGCAAAACACAGCATCACTTAGTCAATATAGACCATCTTAATGTAGCAGTTGGAGTTGTGGAACAAACCTCACGAATTCTAGATTCATGTTACTTTTATTACCTCTGAGACCCAGAGCATATCACCTCACTTACCCTGGTGTCAGTTACCTCATTTGGAAAATGTAGACTTTATATGATGATCTTTAAAGTACTATTCTGGTCTTTAAAAAAAAAAGTGTATTCAAATCTCTCTGATTTTTCTGAATTTGTATAGCACATAATTTTTTTTTGGTTTTGAATAACATGCATGCTTTACAAATGATTATTTAATAAATCCATCCGAATTATTTGATAATAAGACTGCTTTTGAAGAAAAAAATTATGAAGCACTGAACACCATAATTGGTCCATTATTTGGGGAAAAAAAAGAAAGGATGCATGTCTTCTTCAAGTATTCATTCTAATTCTCTTTCTTTGCAAGAAAATCTTGGGAAACCTGCCTCCTATGAGTTGGATGTACATTGCTCCCAAAGAGTTCACAGACTGGAGACTACTCCCCAATGTGGTGGTATTAAGAGATGGTAGAACCTGTAGAAGTTGGGGCCTAGGGAAGGTAATTAGTTCTTGGAGGGCACTGCCTTTAAAAGTTATAATATAGTTTGCAGGATGTCATTTATTCACTGCAACAGTAGATTATTATGAAAAGAACAAACCTGACATCTGAATTCCCGGCTGTGTTTATAACCACGTGCGTGATGTCTTGTACACGCAGATGTTTCTCCTCCTGCTTCTCTGCCATGTTGTGACAACAGCCAAGGGAGCCCTCTCCAGAGACCGAACAGATAAGGTGCCCATGCTTGGACTTTCAGCCTCCAAAATCTGAGCTAAGTAAATGTCTTTTCCATAAAAGTAGTTAGCTTCAAGTGTTTTGTTATAGTAATAGAGAAGAGACTAACGCTTCAAATATTTTGTTATAATATCAGAAAAGAAACCAATGTTTTGCCCAGTTGAAAACCTACATTATTCAATTTTCTTCACAGGTGGGAGTGTGACTGTTCTAGCTACAGAAATGTGGGAAGAGTTAATGTATTTTACCACATAACCGTTGTCTCCTGTCTCCACATTAACATATATTAGTAAATATTCCATGCATACTAATCCCGCATCAAAGACAGTTTAGTAATACATGACTTTTAAGCAATTCTGGTACAATTTAAAAAGAAAGAAAGGAAGGAAAACTAGCAAGCTTCACATAATGATCACACAGCATTTTTTTTGCAAAAAAAAAAAAAAAAAAAAACAAAACCAAAATGGAAATCTGCTATGATTGCGTGGTGAAATGTGGTACACAAAACTTCTTTACAGATGCCTCGATGCCTCATAATGTGAGTCTTCTCTTCCTTCCTTTGCCTTGAATTTGCATATCAGCACTACAGCCATGATCTTGGATCACAAAGCAACTGTCATGCTGAAAGCCACAGTAGCAGATGATGAAGTCTGCAGGACATGGGCACACAAGGACTTCATCCAACTACTCTAGTCTGGAGATTTACCTTGGGTTTAAATTTTTAAAAAGCATAAAACCTGTAAGCTTAACATACTGTGCTCAGTCTATTATTACTACTTAATATAAACCCAAATAAAACTTAAGGAAAATAAAAAGCTATCAAATTAAGTAGTAATTAGGGTGATTCATGCTAAATTAAACTTACCTCTGAATAAAGTTATTTTTGGTTACATCATATAAAATGCTGAAACACATTTTGCCTACATATTTACACTTACCAAAATGTATTTCGTTATTCAAAATTATTCTTAATTTAAAAATATTAGCTTACTAAGTATTTGACATGTTACCACACAGGTTGTTTCTCTCAAAAAAGTACAGATTTTATGAATTATGGAGAGCTATAAAAAACAATCCCATAAGCAAACAACGTCACTACCATAATTAGTATTATTTTTTCAAAGAGAGAAAAAGAAGCACAAAGCAATGGCATTCAAGAGGAAGGTAAAAACACAACCAAATACGTTTACCTTGTAAGAAAATCATAGGGATTTTACCCATAAATCGAGAGGAAGTATTTTAATGATGCCAATAATGATTTAGTACATAGGCATTGATCCAAATGGTATGTATACAAATGGCCACATGAAAGCAAATAACTCTAGCTAATTGAAATTTTCCAAGATCAATACCACTCAAATCTATTTTACAATCTGTAAATGAAAACTCAAATACTTCAAGATTACATTAATTACTAACTATGGAGGCTCAATAATTATTAATCACCTTCATTTAATATGTATATCTCAGATGACAATTATCAGACTCATCTTTCTGAAGGGAACATAATGAAACAAGGCCAGCATTAAAATTTAACTCTCAAGCAACTTTTAGGATAAGCAAATATTTAAAAATGCATCTTCCATTTTTAAAGCAACAAACTATTTAGTGCTTAAATGCACTTCTGATTTTTCATGACTAAATGTAAGGTAGACAATTGGATATTTTTTGTTTTATATCTATCCCAGGCATCAATGTTTCTCCATCCTGTTGACTTTATTTTGGGGTTTATTATTTTGGGTAACTGTATTTTTAAAGATGTGACAAAATTCTGTAGAAAAATTGTGACTCGTTAAGTGTTCATTTGGAAACTAACTCTCATACAAAAAGTGGTTAAACTGCTAAAGATTCTAGAGATGGTTTAAAAAAAAATTGTAACATGAACCTCAGTGCAAACTATAGTCTGTGACTGATATACATTATTTACGTATACCTGAAACAAAGTTTCACGAACAATGCTCATTTTTACTATGAGTAATGCCTGTTGATGCTCTCTGTTCTGATCTACCCCATTGCATGTTGCATGCGTGATAAAATCTACACACTACAACACATTAATCCTGTTTTAAAACATTGCTCTGAAGTGATTAAAGCTTAGAGGGCAAGCCTTTCAATTCTTACATAAGAGAACAGAAGTGTCATCTAGAGGGTTAGATAATTTGCCCAAGCTAACAGAGCTGTATGTAGCAGAGCCAGGATTAGAAATAAGGCCCATTGATCCTCAGCCAAATATAAGAAAAAAAAAAAAGTTGTGAGAGGGATGTCTGTAGCTTCAGAAATTCAAAATGTAGAAGTACGTGGCTCAGAGTGTGTAACTGTTCTAAAGGTCTCGGCATCTGAATCACTGAAGTTTTTTTTATGGATGACTCATTTGGCTTTATTCAGCAGACTTGAGTTTAGAAATTCAATCAGTGACTAGTTTATCTGGTGAGCTGTCCTTGTAATTAAATAAAACAATCCCCAGAAACTTAATTGAAGAATGCCTGCCCATCAGGAACACCTAGAAGGCACACTTTGTCGGTCTGTTTAAGCCAAATTTCTGGCACACTGTTCTTTAAAAATCAAATTTAAAATGGCAGGTGTGTTTCTCTTAACTTCTTTATGGACATGGACAAGTAATTGCAAACTCTTCGATATCTAATATATACAGAAAAGACTCATTTCCTATGTAATAGCTTTCTATTGACAGTGACAGGATTTGAAAGTTTTTAAATTTTTATTTTGTCTTACTTTAATCAAAAATATGTGTATGTAGATGAGTGGGAAAGGAAAATTCAACAAATTTCTTGAGAAGGAAACACATTGGCTTAGTGTTTTGTTAAGTGTAATGAATGTATATGTCTTAGTTTTCTTATGGGCCTCCACACTAAAGTGTAATGATTTCCTGAAAGTAGATGTAAAGATTCATAAATATATTACCTTTCATTTTAATATATGGTATCAAGTCTCTAAATAAATGCATTCATTAACAACTAAAAATTGAGTTCTTTACATCTAACCAAGTGCCTACTCAGTAAATCTTTGTTAATTCCTCACAGGTTTATCATTGCAAATAAGAGAATTAACATTGGTAAAGAGAATTAACATTGGGGTTGTAGCTCAGTGATAGAGTGCATGTCTAATATGCATAAGGCCCTGGTTTCCATAGTGCCCACCATGCCCCCAAATCACCTTAACAAGATAAATCTGATTTTTAATTAAGTAAACGCTATATAATGAAATGATAGTAAGCAAAATAAATGAGAACCTTAACTCAAAAGACAATTATATAAGGCATTTCTTCTGACATTTCTCTTTGAAATGAAAGTCTACTGTTTAGAGAGGCAGGATATTTCTGTTGGGAAACGATAGGTCCAAACATTGGCTCCACCACTGTTGCATGAACTTGCACAAGTGATTTAACTACTCAGATACTTGGGAATTTCACTATATCCCCTTTCAACGGTAAAGAAGGCATCTGGCTAATTGGACAGAGGGCATGAGTTGAGGTCTGATGAGAACCTGGTTATTTCTGTTCCAGAGACCTACATCCTAATAGAATGAAAAGAAAAACAATCAGGAAATCAGTCTCCTTAAGAACAATAAGTACAGACAAAAATCCCGAAATGGGAAAGAACACATTTTTTGAATTTTTATATACTTTAGTGTTTTCTTTCAAGAAAATATAATTCATATTGACTGTACTTGGGGTTTCTTCCAAGAGATGAAATGTTAACATTGATACAAAATATTTAAAGATCAAGTACATGTGCATTTTTATGAAATATTGTTTTCACACTGATTCTGCTGAAGTTTCTGAATCATTTCACTTTCCCTCTTTCAACTACTATTACAGAGACTTAGTTTCCCAATTTTTTAAAATCAATTTTCTAGTCTTTTAGCTTTGGTCTTCTAGTTGTATCATGAAGTTTATTTCTTGACATACAAATGCAGGCCAAGAATATGGTAACTGTGTGTTTGATAGACATAGCTTTAGCAACATAGTTTCTAAAGAACAATTTCCTTTGGAAATATCTTGATTGTACTTCCTTAGTAGAACAATTGAAATTTGGGTTGAAAAATATGTAGAGAATATACTTTTTTACTATTTATGCATATAATAGAATGACATTTTTTTCAAGAAAATATACAGTTTATATTCAAGAATAACAAAGATATAAAATATAGTAAGTCACATTGGTTTACAATTTTTGCAGCTCTTTTGTATAGAACAATGCCTTGAAATACAGAATGCAAACTCTGTCCCCTCGTATTCTTTAACACATGGTGACACTGAGCATTGAAGTCTAAAAAGTTTCATGTTTGCCATCTAGTCATGTTTCAGTGGCTCCCACCATTTCATACTACTTAAGATAGGTAATTTTAATAGTAGATGATAAAATAATTGGCAACAGTTGGCCTTCAGATGGCTTTTAAAGGCACCACTTTAGCCAATAGGCCTACATATGTACATAGTTCTCTTTGCTTTGATCAACAAAGGAGCAGTAACGAGAGTTCCCCAGGAGCAGACTAGGCCTGCTTTGTGAATAAATTCTTAGTTCACAGTTGCTGTGGGAAAAATGAAAGATCCAATTATAAAAAGTCTAGAAGGTTTCCTATAATTAGTGGTTATTATATTACTTTTGCTTATGACGTAATACAGAAGAAGAAAAAAGGGAGAGGGATTGCTATTTCATTTATTTATTATTTTCTTAATTGCTTTTTCACTAACCGTCTGTGTTTCAAGGAAGCTAAGCCACAGTCATTTCATCAATAACATTAACTTGACATTTCATTCAGGAAATAGGAAGAAGGTTTTGACCTTAAATTGGAGAATGCTAGAAGATTCTGGTTCTTTTATATTGGTCTTGTAAGCACAGAAAAAATAATGTGATCAATACATAGGAAATGTTGCAGACTTATATTTTTCTGTGTAGCACAAATATGTATCAAAATAATAACTGAGTGATATCAGTGTGAACTGTGTTGTTCTTAAGTCTTGTAATGATATTTTATCTGAGATCAGGCAATTATAACGTCCTTCAAATAGGGAGAAGAAAACATACCTGAATAGATACATATAGACTATATAATACTCATAGTATATTGCTTTTACTTTTAAATAATTTAAAGTAAAATAATTTTAAATAATTTTTACTTTTAAATAATTTAATAAAAATTGGGCTATTTCAAGTTTGTACAAGAAACAGAAGAGATTTTGATTAGTGGTAGGAATCATCTATTCAATGAATGCTATATGGAGACACTCTGGCTTGGATACTGTTTCAAAAACCCAGCCAATCATGACCCTTACTTACATCATGCCAGCAGTCAATGCAATTAACTTTTTGTTAAGATGATAATAATAATAGGATTATTTTTGATCCTTATTATTAAATGTCCTAAATTTCACAGGTCTAATCATATTATCACTCACTTTTTTCATGTTTTGAAGATTAGTCTATTAGAGTGAAATTATTTTCCTTAATGTTTATATTATTATTAT